TGTGGGGGTTCTATGTATTTGTCGAGGTGTATAAATGATGCGCTTCATTTTATTTGGAGATATATAATTCTGGTACTAGTTACATGATATATACTTAAAAATGACGACCTACTAGTTCGGTTGCGGGGAGACGACTGCCGTGCGACGCCAGCGCACGTACGCGCTTGGGAACACAAAAGTACCGCGTCAACAGTGTGTCCCTACAACCTGTTACAGTTTTTATACCGGAGTGTCGCCTTTAGGTCTTGTATGTTGGTGACACACGGTGCGCCTGCGGCACAACCTACAGTAATTAAGAGGTGAAGGTCAACAAGCTGCAAAATCAACTGATTAGCACCAACTACAACATTCCATAGTCACCTCAATTAGTCTAATTCGGTGATAGTAGTTTTCATTTACATTGGATTAATAATATATTGTAAAGTTCAAACTTAATGAATTTGAATTGGCTGATGCAAGAACTGAAACAGTTGATAATATGGGTTACAAAACATCATTCAGGGGTGAGTGGGGAGTGAGTGCTTGATCTAGCTACAGTCAATCTACGGTATTTCCTAAAAAGATCTAAGTACAATAAAATATTATTTTTATGGCATAAGCCGTTAAACGGCCAGACGGATCACCTGATGGTAAGCAATCGGCGCCGCCTATGGACACCTGAAACACCAAGGCGTTACACGTGCGTTACTGGCCTGGAATTAGGAATTTGAGGATTGTAGAAAATTCGGGGATTGGGGAGGGGGGGGAGGTAATTGGGCCTCTGGTAAACTCACTCACATTTCATACGACGAAACACAACGCAAGCGTTGTTTCACGTCGGTTTTCTGTGAGGCCGTGGTATCACTCCGGTCGAGCCGGTCCATTCGTGCCGAAGCATAGCTCTCCCATACTTATAGATGTATACTGATCATAATTATCACACAGTGTCACACAGACAGGTGATGTTTGTTGTGTTTATATTACATCATCAACATTCGCATTGAATTACTTTTACTTGATTCTTTAAAACATAGCAAGATATAAACTCTTTGACTACAAGTTGTTTTCATGTAATATTTCCGCAAAAAACTGGTTGTGAGTCAAGTTCGAGACCTTCTGATTATAGGTGCATACATTTAATTTTATGAAATTTATTCGTAATGCGTAATTTTTGCAGTACGTAGGTAATTCATGTAGGTCACTGATCGACGAGAAAATCCGCGAAATGTATTTATAGCAATAATTACCTCGTTAGATCAATGGTGATTAGAGTATAAGAGTCCATATTTCCATATCGACAGGCAGTATCGCTTTTGATTCGCGGGTTGAGTAAAGAGAATCGATAGTTTTTTTTTCACATTTACATTTCGCCTTCGATAGCGTTTATGATAAGTGATAAAAAAGTATTTAATGTTTTTAAGTTTTATTTTCTGTCCACTTTTTAGATTATTTACTGTGTAAATAAAAAAAATATACAGTGGCTGACAATTTTTACACATCCTGTTTCTTAAAGTCACGACTTTAGTGAAATACATATTTTGAACTAGTAACGTTATTAGATAGACTGTCCTGGGATATTTACGAGTAGAAACCGTACCCTTGAGATTTCCGAGATAAAAACTACCCAAAGTTCCTTACCTTGTCTTAATTATACTTAGATCAAACATACAAATCGGTTTCGTGCTTTAGGCATGAAGAAGAGACAGTCAGACACACAGACAAACAGTTATAAATATATGTATGAATAATAATATCACACCTTTTATAATGATGAAACATATCTGCTCATAAGCAATTTATTTATAGTAGTGGGGCTAGTGGGCAATGGCAATGGCAAATGGATGGCAATAGCAATTCTGACATACCTACCTCTTACCTCTTGTTTCATTTACATTCTTTAATCAACGTAATATCTATTTTTCGTCTTCAAAAGTATAGGTAGTCACATGTAGGTAATGAAGGCCGACCTAATTATCATACATAAAACATAATTTTAGAATCAGTGATATCAAGCTGTAAAAAATTTTGGAAACCAATTTTCCCTCAGTCATGCAATATATAATTTGAGCCGTTTAGCTCTATATTCTGTTCACCGCTTTCCAACGCACCAGGCAGTTAAGGCATTGGCTGCCAATAAAAAACTGTTGAAGGCAAATCCTCCGCTAATGTCGGTCACCGGTGACTGCCATGGCGTTTAACGTGTTAAAGCATATTTATCTGTGTAATCATTATAAGGACTGCAAGTCTTTGGTTCAGTCGCGGAGAACCTAACGGGTTACCGGGGTTCCGGCTCGACGTGGAGGAGAAGGAACGGGGTGGTTTTTAGTCAGTAAGAGTCTGACACTCCCTCCCGCCTCACCCGGCGGGAGCAGACATTCGATGATATTCCCCCTTTAAAAAAAGTCTTTGGTTAAACTCATTGATCACGAGTTCAACATAACCATTGTTCATTGAGCTCTATTGGATAGCCGGGAAGTGGTTTCCGATGTACTGATATGAAGAGAACACGTCGACTTTATTTTCGATTCAAAGATAGAACCGGAATCATGCTGAAACTTAAACCGACGATTACCAGTGAAGCAGTAAGGAATCGGATAATGTATTGTTTGTGTTTGTTATGTCAATGCCTAGTTCACTATGATTTTGTATGTAATAGATGCAATAAATCTATACTAATATTATAAAGAGGAAAGATTTGTACCTATTTTTGTATGTTTGTATGTTTGTAATGAATAGGCTCAAAAAGTACTGGACCGATTAAAAAAATTCTTTCACCAATAGAATGCTACATTCTTCCAATTTGAATTAGGCTAGATATCATTTTGAAAAAAAAATAGGAATCCTTGGTAAAATTTGAACAATGTAACCGAAGGTGTAGAAAAATGAGTCTTAAAATGTCTTTCGTCGAATGTGCTGCCGAAACTATTAGCGATAGAACAAAATAATGTACAAAAATATTGAAGAACATCGTAATGTCTACAAAAAACTCCGTGGTAGCATGTGTCCAACTATTGTAGTTATGTCACTACAACAATCCAAATTTCCAAAAATAAATAATTGTCTACCCCGTGCGAAGCCAGGGCCTCTAGCCAAAAACCACTTTAGCGCTTGTCTACAGAGAGAGTAGAAATCAAAATGTATGGGGATGACACTGACAAGTGTCAAAATTTACGTCAATTCCATATAATTTGGTTTTCTATTCTACATGTAGACAAGCGCTAAATGGCATTTGGCTAGCACTGCAGGACGGGCTGCTAGTTAGTACTTGATAACTTGATTAGTAGAAAATTGAACTAATCCAGAATACAGACGTTTGAAATCGTAAGGTGTGTCATTAGAGTGATATAATAAATATGAAGAAAATACAAAATATCAATTGGTAATAATATAATAATTTAATGACGTTCTTAAATTAATCTATAAGCGCAACAGTTGTCTGTTTAACAATAACAATATGCCTTAGTGGTGGTAAGAGATGGCGGGAGAAGAGTAGGTGACGTGAGCTACGGGAGCAGCGTAGGCAACCTTGGCGACAGGGGCGGCGTAGGCGACCTTGGCGACGGGGGCGGCGTAGACTGGAGCGTGGGAGTATGAGACTGCAGCTGGGGCGTACGCTACTTTGGCAACGGGAGCGGCGTAGGCGACCTTGGCTACGGGAGCGGGGTAGGCGATCTTGGCTACGGGGGCGGCGTAGGCGATCTTGGCGGGTTCAGCGTGGACGGGGGTGCCCTCGTAGCGTACGTTGGCGTTGAATCCGTGCTCCTTGTCGGCGGTGTACTCGACGATGCGGTGCACACCGTCGGGCTGCACGAGAGAGTACGAGCCGTGCACGGCGTCGCCTTGACGGGCCTCCTGCTGCTGCTTCACGTCACCGCTGTGGTCATCGTGCACGGAGTATGAGAACTCGTAGTGAGCGGGCGCCTCAGGCTCAGCGTACACCACCTTGCTGACGGGAACAAGGGGCACGGCGTAAGCCACAACGGCGAGGGAGAGGACAATCACAAACTGTAATAAAAATTTATTTTATTAGTATTTCAGTAGGTACTAGGTATTGTACGAACTTTTTTGTTGCCATTTTATTGACTTAAGTAACTTACTTTGGCAACCATTTTTGTTAAATTAGATAGCTTGCTATCGTGCTACTGTTTTGAATGTCAGTATTCGACTGTGACAATGTGAGTGCTTGCTGCAGTTTTATACAGGTTCGTCGCCTGTAAGTCTACTAGGTGCCACGCGGTGCGCCCGCGGCGTTGGTCACTGTGATTGGGAGGTGAAGGTCGCCACGCTGCATAGCTGAGCCGAACCCCACGTGTGACAACAATTTAACCACCTGTCGAAGTCCTGTGGTCGAATGTGATCGTAATTTATTAATATATAGAGTCATAGGTATAATAAACTTTCTTTATTCCAACGGATACAAATAACGTTTATTTTTGCAAATGCACCCTTATATTAATAAAAAATCAGTTTGAGCACAGTTGCGCCGAATTGTTACGATTTTCTTTGTGAACCCGATTACTTTGACTTTTTTTTTCATACAAATCTCATTTATAATGACATTAATAGTCTGTATGTCAAAGTAGTTCGTTTTGTAATTGTAGTTATCCATTTAAGCATTTTAACTGATATTACACAGAAACAGGCCTTAGTTGAGAAAAATTTAAATTCCACGATGTTGAAGCAGTAGGCAGAAAGCTAGAAAGTAAGTTTTTATATTAGCTATCGTGAGTTTCGAGTCACAGAGGGACTCTTCGTCATGAACAACGTGTTGTCGCGGCAATGTCGCGATATTTTTAGTTAAGCTAGGAAGTACTATTATAAGAACAAAAGCAAAGTATTGTTGCTCACTGACGCAAAACCAATAAACTGATACTAAGTTTAACTAAAGATAGACGACTTCAGTGACCGCGTAATTAACTACCTACTTCCGCGCGGATTCACCTGCTTTGCTTGACGCCTGTTGATCGAAGCGTGAAGTTTTATAACCTATAGCCTTCAGCGATAAACGCACTATCCAAAACAAAAAATATTATTCAAATCGGGCCAGTAGTTTCCAATATTCATATAACAAACTCTTCTGCTTCATATAATGTAATAAAAAAAGTACAAAGTAAAGATATAACATGATGGCAAATTCAACTTACAAGGTTTACAAACACCACAAGAATTGCAAATGTATTAATATCGATGAAGAAACATTTATGTTTTAAAAATCTGCATTTTACTTTTTGAAATGTGAACTTTCTTATGGTAAAACAAATTCAACGCAAATAAGAACATTATAATATCAGTATGGATTTTTTTTGTTTTGTACTTAGGATTCAATATGTCCGACTGCCCGTAGAGAATAATCTGAAACTTTAGTGAATTTCAACACATGTAATGAAATGCAGGTTTTTGAATATTTCATTAACCTAAAGTTTAGTTTGACCGTGGAAGGCCAAACGGCCGCGGAAGGCCTAACGGTTTGCCGGGGCTCCAGCTCGAAGAGCAGGAGTAGGAATGGGGTAGATTTTAGCACGAGTCTGACACTGCCTCTCGCCTTACCCAATGGCGGGAGAAGCCATTAGATGATTCACCCCCTCAAAAAAAAATGTAATCAAAATTCTCAAAATCAAAATTATTAAAATTTATCTCAAAAATATTGTTTATAAATTATTAAGTAACTATATTGTATAATTGTCTACTTTTTCCTTTAGTAATAAGTAACAGATGGTGCTGCGTACTTTCCGTTATTGAACAAGGTACTATTTGCAACAAACGATTTTGCTCGGCTGTCGTTCATTTTGACTCGGTCCTACTAAGAATATGGTACATCTGCAGTACAAATTGTCATCATCTATACTTTCTTCAATTTGAACAAATGGATAGTGGAAAACTATACTTAAAAATAACCATTAACATAACAATATTACAACTTTCCTTGTCTTTACCAGTCAGTCCATACCAGGCAAAACCAAAACCAAAAATGTCCAGCAGTCACATCAAAGTAATGGTGAAGAGATTTTATTATCATTCATACCTAAACATAAATCAAAATATGGCGTCTGTGTTAAAACAAATTGTTTACCAGGTTCAAAATGGCAACAGGGAATTAAAAAATAAAAGTGTCTCATCGAGTTCAACAATAATTTATTAGTACCTATTCATTTCAATAAATACAACAGTCTTTTAAGGTTTAGTGGTGGTATGAGATGGCGGGAGAAGAGTAAGTCACATGAGCTACGGGAGCAGCGTAGGCGACCTTGGCGACGGGGGCAGCGTAGACTGGAGCGTGGGAGTAAGAGACTGCAGCTGGGGCGTAGGCTACTTTGGCAACGGGAGCGGCGTAGGCGACCTTGGCTACGGGAGCAGCGTAGGCGATCTTGGCGACGGGGGCGGCGTATGCGATCTTGGCGGGTTCAGCGTGGACGGGGGTGCCCTCGTAGCGAACGTTGGCGTTGAATCCGTGCTCCTTGTCGGCGGTGTACTCGACGATGCGGTGCACACCGTCGGGCTGCACGAGAGAGTACGAGCCGTGCACGGCGTCGCCTTGACGAGACTCCTGCTGCTGCTTCACGTCACCGCTGTGGTCATCGTGCACGGAGTATGAGAACTCGTAGTGAGCGGGCGCCTCAGGCTCAGCGTACACCACCTTGCTGACGGGAACAAGGGGCACGGCGTAAGCCACAACGGCGAGGGAGAGGACAATCACGAACTGTAATAAAAATAAATTAATTAGTATTTTAGTAGGTACTAGGTATTGTATGAACTTTTTTGTTGCCATTTTATTGACTTAAGTAACTTACTTTGGCAACCATTTTTGTAAAATTAGATAGCTTGCTATCGTGCTACTGTTTTGAATGTCAGTATTCGACTGTGACAATGTGAGTGCTTGCTGCAGTTTTATACAGGTTTGTCGCCTATAAGTCTACTAGGTGCCACGCGGTGCGCCCGCGGCGTTGGTCAGTGATTGAGAGGTGAAGGTCGCCACGCTGCATAGCTGAGCCGAACGTCACGCGTGACAACAATTTAACCACCTGTCGAAGTCCTGTGGTCGAATGTGATCGTTATTTATTAATATAGATTGAGTCATAGGTATAATCAGTTTCTTCATTCCAACGGATACAAATAACGTTTATTTATATTTTGCCAATTTTTAAAAGTGCTCCCTAATAAAAAATCGGTTTGAGCACAGTTGATGTCTTATAATATTCTTTGTGAACCCGATTACTTTGACTTTTTTATTTCATACAAATCTCGTAATGACATTGATAGTCCGAATACGTCAAAGTAGTTTTAATTGTAGTTATCTATTAAAGTTAGGCTTGCAATTTTTTTTTAAACATAAATGTTTCTTCATCGCTATTAATACATTTATTTTGCAATTCTTGTGGTGTTTGTAAACCTTGTAAGTTGAATTTACTATCATCTTACTATCATCTTTACTTTATACTTTTTTATTTCATTATATGAAGCAGAAGAGTTTGTTCATTTGAACGCGCTAATTTTCGGAACTACTGGCCCGATTTGAATAATAATTTTTGTGTTGGATAGTGCGTTTATCGAGGAAGGCTATATAGACTATAAAACTTCACGCTGCAATCAACAGGCGTCGAACAAAGCAGGTGAAACCGCGTGGATGTAGCTAGTTAATTATAATATGGAAGTTTTGCTAAGTAGTTTATTACGCAGTCACAGCGGTCGTCTATCTTTGGTTCAACTTAGTATCGGTTCATCGGTTTCGCATTAGTAAGCAACAATACTTTAAATTTGTTCTTATAATAGTACTTTCTAGTTTAACTAAAAATTGCGTGACATCGCCGCAATCACACACGTTGCTCATGAGGACGAGTCCCTCTGTGACTCGAAACTAGAAGAGCTTTTCTCAGTGTATTTATGTGGGTAACCCGTAATTTTTAGTTAATTTTGTATGTTTATAAAACATAATTTCTAGCTTTCTGCCTGCTCCTTCATTCTCATGGAATTTAGATTTTTCTCAACTAAGCCTTGATTTTTTTTTTATATATTTGATGGGGCGACGTTTGACCACTATCTCGCCTGTTGGTTAGCGTTGTACCCTTCAGGAAATACAGACTCTGTGGAATATCAGCAAAAAATGTGTCCCATTTTACTTCTTGAAATGTGAACTTTCTTATGGTAAGACAAATTCTTTAACGCAAAAAAAATCAATTAAACCTTTCCTCTTCATAATATCAGTATGGATTTTTTTCTACGTATGTTCTTAGGTTTCAATGTGTCCGACTGCCTGTGGAGAATGATCGTAAACTTTAGTAAATTCCAACACATGTACGTACCTAATGAAATACAGGTCTTTGAATATTTCATTAACTTTCTGTTCAATTAATTATTATGTTTTTTTTTATGGCATAAGCCGGTAACCGAGCAGACGAATAACCTGATAGTAAGCAATCAGCGTCGCCCATGGACACCTGGAACACCAGAGGCGTTATAAGTGCGTCACCGGCTTTTTGGGGATTAGGAGTTTGAGGGTCGTTGGGGATTCAGGGATTGGGGAGATTAGGGAAGGGGAAGGTAATTGGGCCTGCGGTAACTTCACTCACACGACGAAACACAACGCAAGCGTTGCTTCACGTCGGTGTTCTGTGAGGCCGTGGTATCACTCCGGTCGAGCCGGCCCATTCGTGCCGAAGCATGGCTCTCCCACACTTAAAGTGGCTTAATCACGTAACTGTTTGACGAGGAACCCGACTACTTTCAAGCCATGCCAGAGGCTCATATTCATGAGCAGCATTTCGTGACCCGCCACGCGGCAACTGTCGCGCTGCTACTAATAAATTAATTTAGTATGTCTCACGAAAGTCATAGTATAAACTTAAAGTTAGTTTGACTGTAAGGTATAATCAAAATTCACAAAAAATGTAGGTTTATAAACTAAGTAACTTCTATGTATTTTTACGAGGTTCATTAATATTTGTTAATTGATGATTAAGTAAATAAAATGTGTATTTTTAATTTTTTTGTGAGACAATCATCAACAGCCTATAAATGCCCACTGCTGAGCAAAGCCTCTTCTCACACGGAGAAGGTTAGAGCATTAATCACCACGCTTGCTCAATGCGGGTTGGCGATTTCAAACTTATAATTAGAAATTATAAGTTCAGGTTTCCTCACGATGTTTTTCCTTCACCGTTTGTCAGTGGTGTCTAAATAATCTTAGAAAGTACATATAACTCGGAAAAAGTCACATTGGTACTTGCCGTTGGTAGGTTTCGAACCCGCACCCTCATGCATGAGAAGTGGGCGTCTTAAACCTCCGGGCCACCACGACATTGAGACAATAACAAAACCAAAAATGTCAGTCACGTTAAAGTAGTAGTGAAAAAAATTATTCTCATTCATACCTAAACATAAATAAAAAATGAAAAATGTCATCTTTGTTGAAAATAAATGTTTACTAGGTTTAAAATGGCAATAGGAAGTTAAATAATAAAAGTGTCTCATCGGAGTCAACAATAATTTATTAGTTTCTATTCATTTCAATAAATACAACAGTCTTTAAAGGTTTAGTGGTGGTAAGAGATGGCGGGAGAGGAGTAAGTCACATGAGCTACGGGAGCAGCGTAGGCGACCTTGGCGACGGGGGCGGCGTAGACTGGAGCGTGGGAGTAAGAGACTGCAGCTGGGGCGTAGGCTACTTTGGCAACGGGAGCGGCGTAGGCAACCTTGGCTACGGGAGCAGCGTAGGCGATCTTGGCGACGGGGGCGGCGTATGCGATCTTGGCGGGTTCAGCGTGGACGGGGGTGCCCTCGTAGCGCACGTTGGCGTTGAATCCGTGCTCCTTGTCGGCGGTGTACTCGACGATGCGGTGCACACCGTCGGGCTGCACGAGAGAGTACGAGCCGTGCACGGCGTCGCCTTGACGGGCCTCCTGCTGCTGCTTCACGTCACCGCTGTGGTCATCATGCACGGAGTATGAAAACTCGTAGTGAGCGGGCGCCTCAGGCTCGGCGTACACCACCTTGCTGACGGGAACAAGGGGTACGGCGTAAGCCACCACGGCGAGAGACAGGACGATGACGAACTGAAATTGTAATATTGATTAATTTATGACTTCACTTTTAACACTAATAACACACTTGCGATAATTAAACTTCAGTTTATTTTAAAGGTTTTATTTTGAATAACTTACTTTGGCGACCATTTTTACAGTGTTGCTGATTTAGTTGTCAGTAGTAGACTGTGACAATCTGTGTGATATGCTACAGTTTTATACAGATTGTTGCCTCTAGGTCTTGTAGGTGACACTCGGTGCGCCCGCGGCATTCCTTGCATTGATTGAGAGGTGAAGGTCGACATGTCGCATTGCTAACCCGAACTTCACGATGTAAACCAACCACCTGTCAACCAATTTCGTACGTGATAGGAAAAACATAAAATAATAATTACATTATTTGATGTTCAGAATGTAATTTCGTTGTTTATATTGTGTGCATCCTTAGTCTAGGTATTTCTCAGTAAGTCTCATGGCATTTCTAATTACAAAGTTTCTTTTCTCAATCTTATTTACTAAATTAATATACTAAAAGAAACTGCAATGTCTAACCTGCCTGGCAAGAGTAAAGATTATGGCAACGTCTTATATTAAGGACTGAGAAAGCACTCGTGTAGCTGGACTATGGATCTGTACATGCAACAGTAACATCATAACAATGATTTCTCCTACAGTTTTCCTATTTGATACATTCACTACTATGTGCTTAAGGTTCAAATTTCCACAAAGTAAAAGTATATTTATATGAATGAATTCAGGTCATGGTCATGGTCGTCTAAACTCAACCAATGTTTTTTGTATTAACTTTCTTAGCAAAAGTGATTCACAATAACAATAAATAGTAAAGTTTAGAGATTTTGTTACTTATAAAGTTTTTATATTGAAATAATTAAAGTTTGACATATCGATCTAAACTCGCTCATCAGGACTTTTCTTTGTAGTCTATCGTTTACTGGCATAGTACAAAACCTGTAAATTCGCTTAGTTCGGTGATGCACTGGGTCGTGACTCGCGAGTGCGATTATGGAGCAAGATATCTCAGATTAGATACCTACACTGCGCTGTGTCTTGGCTGTGTCTTAGATTTTTGATCAAATTACAAATAATTCTAAGTCATGAATTAGATAAATTAGTGTCAAAACGAGTATATTAACTTTCACTATAGACTAACATCACGCTTCCTTTGCATTCACGAATACTTCGGGGTATTAAAGGTGTTAAGTGAATTCATAAATTATGATAATTATTATCAAATACGACTAAAAACAATGAAGCCATTCTCGAATCTTATGTGATGTAACTTCATGAACTAGAAGTGGGATTGTGAATCGTGTAAAATGAAATATTTCTACATGTTTATATTTAAAATTTCGTGAGACATACTAAATTGTAATAAATACATACTAAAAGTCTCATACATGAGCCGCATTCCGTGACCCGCGAAGTGGTGACTCACTCACACAACTACAGTCGCCGCATCGCGGGTCGCAAAATCATGCTCATGAATAAGAGCCTCTAGCATGGTTTGAAACTAGTCGAGTTTCTCGTCGAATAATTACATTAATAAGCCGAAAAACATAATAATTGTTTTTAATTGTTTAAGTTGAAAGAGCTCGATGATAATGTTATTATAAGCATCTGGAGCGTAGGTATAATAATTGTTTACGTGAATTTCTGTGTTTTGAACGCACCTAAGCCCCGCACGACAGAAGAGAAATTCCTAAAGGGTTTTTTATTCATACTTATTAGCTGTGCCTTTTATTTTTATCTACATACAACATTGTGATTAAATGAAGATATGTGCATTGCATTGGCATCGTGATTCAGAAAGAACGCGATGTTGTCGAGTATATGTGTCCGATTATAAATTTTTTGCACATTGAAAAATTATCGAGTTTCAAATCGCCTCTGTGTGAGTACTTGTACTAGTGTCAAAATATATGCGTTAATATAAAGTTCATATTTATTTTGGTTGTGTGTGTCAATGGTCTGCACCGGCGTGGTGTCTGGGTGACGTCGCTGGCTGCCGTTTAACGTATAGCGCGTTCGATTACCGCGCGGAGCAACTCTGTGTTATCCATAAATTGTTGTTTCGGGTCTGGGTGTCATGTGTCTGTGAAATTGTATGTTTGTAAACGCACCCACGACACGGGAGAAAATACTAGTGTGGCGCAACGTTTTTAAAAGACAATAAAAAATAATAAACTTCTAAAAATTAAACACTTAATCTCGGTGTCCATCACCGCTTTTGTTTAAAATACACACAAATACATAAAAACTGTAAGTGAAAAGGATACATTGTTCAGTGGCATTAAGTGCCGTAATGTGTACCTCTACCTACCCCGTCGGGGTTAAAGGGCGTGATGTTTTGTAAGTGAAAAGGACAAAAAAAACAAATTAGAATATCAGGTCAATAAATAATAATTTAATAATACCTATTCATTTCAACAAATATAACAATGTATTGGTTTAGTGGTGGTAGGAGATAGCTGGAGAAGAGTAAGTGACGTGAGCCACGGGGGCAGCGTAGGCAACCTTGGCGACAGGGGCGGCGTAGGCGACCTTGGCTACGGGAGCAGCGTAGACTGGAGCGTGGGAGTATGAGACTGCTGCTGGGGCGTAGGCTACTTTGGCAACAGGAGCGGCGTAGGCGACCTTGGCGACAGGGGCGGCGTATGCGATCTTGGCTACGGGGGCGGCGTATGCGATCTTGGCGGGTTCAGCGTGGACGGGGGTGCCCTCGTAGCGCACGTTGGCGTTGAATCCGTGCTCCTTGTCGGCGGTGTACTCGACGATGCGGTGCACACCGTCGGGCTGCACGAGAGAGTACGAGCCGTGCACGGCGTCGCCTTGACGGGCCTCCTGCTGCTGCTTCACGTCACCGCTGTGGTCATCGTGCACGGAGTATGAGAACTCGTAGTGAGCGGGCGCCTCAGGCTCGGCGTACACCACCTTGCTGATGGGGACAAGGGGCACGGCGTAAGCCGCCACGGCGAGGGACAGGACGATGACGAACTGTAACGAGGTAAATTATTTTTTAATATAATTTCAAAGGTAATGTGCGTAGTATTCATATTTAATAGCATTTTAGTTACTTACTTTGGCGACCATTGTTAGATTGGTGTTGTTGTATTGGAGTGCAATACTTGACTGTGATAATATGTGAACTGGTGCACTTTTTATACTTATATGAACGCCTTCAGTACGAACATACAACTGGTGACATGCGGTATGCCCTGGGGCGTTCGTTATTATTTAGAGGTGAAGGTTGCGCTCGCGATCGATCTATGCGATAAATGACATACAGGTTAATACCGTAAAGTATGCACATACATTCTCTTACTGGATTGAGTTTATGTTATCGCATTAAAGTGAAAAAATTATTGAGTGCATATTTCGTTATAAGAAGAAATTATTATGTCGATGTTTGTATAACAGGTCTCTTTCTTGATGTTAAACTCTGATGTCTGATGATTCCTTATATTATTTTGTTTTTATCTTTGTATATTCTACTGAATGTTACATCAAAAACAGGAAAAACTTAGGGTACTTGGTACTTACTGGAAATAATTTAAATATTGGTTCCATGCAACGCATGCGTGCGACACTACCTCTATAAACTAATCGTTATCTTAGATGACGACGTTGAGATGTACCTTGCTCTTGAGAGTTATGCTACTTTAGTGTTTTCCTGATTCCAGTAATATTACTGAACCAGTGTTTACTTAAAAATTACTACCCACTAAACAAGTGTAGTGTTAAGCAACACATGAGTAGTAAGCAGACCTTCACCTCTCAATCATTGTGCGCTAGGCTGTCGTGCCCCGGGCCCAAAGTATGTCACCAAAGATGTAAGAAGGTGACAAATATGACGTATATAAAGTGCAACAAGTCATACGTTGTTACAGTTCAATATTGATATCTGTATCAGTAACTACACTTCAAAATGGTGTCCAAGGTAAGTTGCCGTGTTTTACCTTACCTGCGGTTTATATTAAAATTGTTAAGCTTTTTAATATTTTTTGTCATGTTCCTTAATTAATATGTTGATTATTTAACACATAAAATATTTTATTACAGGTTATCGTTATCCTCTCCCTCGCCGTGGCGGCTTACGCCGTGCCCCTTGTTCCCGTCAGCAAGGTGGTGTACGCCGAGCCTGAAGCGCCTGCTCACTACGACTTCTCATACTCCGTGCACGATGACCACAGCGGTGACGTGAAGCAGCAGCAGGAGGCCCGTCAAGGCGACGCCGTGCACGGCTCGTACTCTCTCGTGCAGCCCGACGGTGTGCACCGCATCGTCGAGTACACCGCCGACAAGGAGCACGGATTCAACGCCAACGTACGCTACGAGGGTACCCCCATCCACGCTGAACCCGCCAAGATCGCCTACGCCGCCCCCGTAGCCAAGGTCGCCTACGCTGCTCCCGTAGCCAAAATCGCATACGCCGCCCCTGTTGCCAAGGTTGCCTACGCTGCCCCCATCGCGAAGGTTGCCTACGCCGCCCCCGTTGCTCATGTCACTTACTCATCTCCGGCTATCTCTTACCACCACTAGATCTGTTGTTATTTAATTGAACGAACTGTTTTATTTATTTAAATGATTAAGTGCCATTAAATTATTGAATTGATTTACATTGTCATTATTGTTCACTAGTTGACTTGACTCGTCGTATTCTGTAACTGTAAGTATATTTATCCTTTTTTCTATTTTTAATATGTCCTTCTTTGTTCTTGCTATAGTTTGATAGTAACAGTTTTTGTGTTGACTAACCAAACTCTCGATATAATAGCAAGGAAAGTTGCTCTTAACCTAATTTAATGTATAAATTTCACATTAAATTTCATCATTCTAGGAACGAAGGCTTTTATGTGCCATTGAAAGTAGAAAGGGAACTTATTTCAATGAATTAGGGCGGAGCGTGGTGACGCAAGTTGACAACATATTTTGAGCATACACTTCTAAGGTCGCAGTTCAAATTACTAGCATCATTTGTAAAGGACATTGCTCGTCGTCCATACATAGTTCGCCTGAGAACCAACAAAGAGTTGTATTTACTTTTTGGGTTTAAGATAATGTATGTAGTCGGTTGAACCTAAATTAAAACAACGGACACTTTAACAATGGCCTTTGTAAAATCTTATTCTATTTTATAAAGCGGAAGAGTTTGTTTGTTTGAACGCGCTAATCTCCGTTACTACAAGTCTGATTCGAAAAATTATTTTTGTGTTGGATCGCGCATTTATCGAGGATGGCTATAGGCTATAAAACATTACGCTACGACCAATAGGAGCTGACTGCTGCTGAGCTTGTGAAACCGCGAGGAAGTAGCTAATATTCAAATAATTTGAGAGACCTTTTCAAATATCTGCGAGCATTTTCACTCAGAAGGGAATAGCTTATAGTTGAACACTACTATTATTATAACGTTGTATATTATACTACTCATATTCACCTAATTGCTAATTATGCAACACTACAAACTATTTATTCATACGCAAATTGAACGAGCATAAATTACCGTTTACGTAATTAAATGCACAGATAAATCTAATATTATAAATTAAATACGACACTAAAATAATTGCTACAAAACACAAATTGCAACAATAATTTCGAACTATGCATTAAAATATTTGAAGAAACAAGTGGACGCCAGTTTAGTTTGACCTCTCGCTTTCTACGAGTACAGCTAGAATCGGGATTTGAGAAGTTGTTACGTGGGTCTGTTTATGGTGGGTGGTTTAGAGAAATTAAAAGTAGTTTGGTGACTGTTGACCAAGGCCTTGACCAAATTGTTTTGGGTGTGGTCCGGTCCAATGGTAATATAATATGTGTAACGTTAAGTACTTTATCTCTGATTGATTGGGCATCAAGCGTGAAGCTGTTTGCATCGTGACCGCACTTATTGATATGTTAGGAGATAGAAATATCGCCGAGTATTGTGTGCTAAGGGCCAATCTGTCGTGGCTAATTACTGTATAATGGTTCATTAAGTTCTGACAAGGCTTTAGTTAGCTTGCTCGGTTGAAGGGCGTCAATTAATGCTGATTAAAGTTGTACAAATTAATGTGATTATCTAATTGACTGTTCGACTGGAAGCAACATTCAATGTAAATGTTTTTTTACGATTCGTCCTGTGATCGATCCGAAGTGGGAACAATTTATTATGAGAATCATTTGTCTCAGAAATACAAGGTCAAAGTCAAAGTCAAAATCATCTATTTCAAGACCAGGAAGACAAATTTGAATGTCAACAATAAAAAATTAAAAGTGAAGCTAAGTCCGAAATTATAACAAAACTTAATACAAAAAGATATCTTTTATTAACCCAGGAACAAGTAATCAAAGTCAAGTCAAAGCATTCATTTCAATTAAACCATAATTTGGTATTTTTGAAACGTCAACAAATACAAAATAAATAAATAGTCTGTCAGTCAGTCCGTCAGTAAAGCTAGGTGAAAGGTAAGAAGGTACTCTTTCCAAAATGTAGATTCGAATGGAGAAGAACGAGAAATAAACTCCATTCGTCACTCTTTTAAAAAAAAGTATGTTCTAAAATGTCTCTAATACATATTCCAATATTGTACTTAAACGTGAGCACAAATTACAAAACTTACTAAAATAAAAAAACAAAACAAAAAAAGTCTTATAGTCTAACATGATGCTTATATATGCAAAAGGAAACTTTGTTTCAATCCTTACTTAATATTATAAATCGGAAAGTGAGTTTGTTTGTTTGTTCCGCTTTCACGCCGTAACTACTAAACCGATTGCTTTGAATTTTAGCAGACGTAAAGTTAGAAGTCCGGATTAAATAATAGGGTACTTTTTATCCCGGAAAAATTTGATATTCCCGAGGGAAAACCAAATTATTGGTATAGATGGCGCTGTGTGTATTGGTATATGTCACATTGGCTTTTAATCCTTTTGTGACGCGAGCGAAGCCGCGGGTAAAAGCTAGTAAAGAAATAAATGCTCGATGTCATAAGGAAACTAAAGCCTCTTTGCGTGACAGTGCAAATGGCACCTATGGTTAACAAAAAGTCGCGGAGAACCTAACGGGTAACCGGGGCTTCGGCTCGACGTGCAGGAGAAGGAACGGGGTGGTTTTTAGTCAGTAAGAGTCTGACACTCCCTCCCTCCTCACCCAGGCGGGAGAAGTCATTCGATGATTTTCCCCCCTTAACATAAAGAAAACTACACATAGTATGTACATAAGTACTGTACAACTAACATAATTTCTTAAAGTACACATGCTAACAATCAGAAAACTACCGTATACACAAGCTATAATTAAGTTATAAATTAAATACCGCTCATATAGCTATAATCCAAAAATAAGTTATCATGTCAATGTTACACAATCTGTCACAGAATTAACAGAGGACAGCTACGTTTGACCAATAGGTACTTCCGTTGTTTAACGACTGTTGTTAATTATCGTTAAATTAACCAAACACCATATTAGTTATCATGCTACTGTTCTCTTATTCTAATCTATTCTATGATCTTATTGAATTTTAAAGTTGGTTACAGATATGTGTTTTCAAAGCACTGGATTTTCTTACAATCAATTCAAAGCACTTTATTCTTTAGTATTAGTAAATAGAAAGAAAGCAAACATAACATCACGCCTTTTATCTTTGGAGGGGTAGACAAAGGTGCTCATTATGCCACTATAATGTAACACCCATTTTTCACTATTTATCTTATGAGTCCCATGTAATAAGGGGTGAAGCTATTGCTACATACCGGGCACAATTTCAGACTCCGTGATACCACTGAGATTTATTATAAAAACCCAGTAATACTTTTCCGATCCGGGAATCGAACCCGAGACCCGAGACATGAATTATTCTGACATCATAAATAATATTAATGACGTTACAACGAATGTATCTCTTTGCTATGACTCTTGAATATTAGTTAATTATCTATGTATTATCTAATAACGAAGACGTGTAGTATCATGTCATCACATAACACATCACTGGACAATTTTTTCTTTTACTAATTCTACTACATTCACTAAAGCAACTTGCGTAAATCTGACCTACATTTTACATGAATCACTCCGGAACGAATCAAAAGCCTTGTTCAAAAATTCATTGAAGAAAATAACAAGATCAATTAAGTACGGCATGACAATAATTTCCGGTAGTCAGTGTCACCGAAACCAGTATCGAATCTCTGACCTTGCCTCAAACGAGAGTTTAATTCTTGTATGCCATTGAATTTACGTTAATTACCGACCACATGTGATTTTTCCCACGAATACATTAATTGTTGGCACTTATTGGGAATATTTTTATTGGGTTTTTTAAAGGTTCTGTAGATTTATAGGTTTATAATTTACTAGCAGCCCGTCCCGGCTTCGCACGGATTAGACAATTATTATTTATTTTTGGAAATTTGGATTGTTGTAGTGACATAACTACAATGGTTGGACATATGCTACCGCGGAGTTTTTTGTAGACATTATGATGTTCTTCAATATTGTTGTACATTATTTTGTTCTATCGCTAATAGTTTCGGCAGCGCATTCGACGAAAGACATTTTAAGACTCATTTTTCTACACCTTCGGTTACATTGTTCAAATTTTATCAAGTATCCCTAATTTTTTTCAAAATGAAATGTAGCCTATGTCAAATTGGAAGAATGTAGCATTCTATTGATAAAATAATTTTTTAAATCGGCCCAGTACTTTTTGGGCCTATTCATTACGAACATACAAACATACAAAAATAGATACATATCTTTCCTCTTTATAATATTAGTATAGATTTCAATTTTGAATATTGTTCAATACTTAACCAGTACACGCCGACATTTAACTGAAGTAATATATTTATATTGAAATAATTTTACAAATTTTATAAAGGATTGGGATTTTTCGTACTTTTTTAGTATACGGACTAGTAAGTATTCTTTAAATGGATTCATCAATACCGACAGACCTATGTTTTTTTTTGTGGCATAAGCCGGTACACGAGCAGACAGATCACCTGATGGTAAGCAATCGGCGTCGCCCATGGACACCTGGAACACCAGAGGCGTTACAAGTGCGTCACCGGCTTTTTGGGGATTAGGAGTTTGAGGATCGTTGGGGATTCAGGGATTGGGGAGATTGGGGAAGGGGAAGGTAATTGGGCCTCCGGTAACCTCACTCACACGACGAAACACACAAGCGTTGCTTCACGTCGGTTTTCTGTGAGGCCGTGGTATCACTCCGGTCGAGCCGGCCCATTCGTGCCGAAGCATGGCTCTCCCACACTTATGTAAAATATGTAATATTTATTTTATAACAAAACGCATAAAAGCGCTTTGTTTTACTGAAATAAGTATACCTACTTATTTATTTTAGCCAGAAACACTAAATGATATTATTTTTCATCTTGTGTATGAACCAAAATAAAATGATGGCGAGAAACGGCTTCGATTATCCACTTACGGAACCCAAAAACCGTAAGTGTAACAGCTGACAGAGACAGAACAGGTTTAAGCAGCGTCATTAAGCATAGCTATTACTTACAAGTGATCGCTCTAATTTTTCCAAATTGCTAAACTATTTGCTTACGTAACACTTGAGCAACGAGCTTTGTTACACATTGGCCAAATTTTTATTGTTCCTCCGGGGCATATAGACAAAGCTGATAATTTGATCGATGTTTATTGTCATTCGATACTTTTCATTGTTTGCATATGGTATCTACTGCCTTGTTGTACTCGATACTCGATATACTCGATTATCGAGTACATGGTGTCTTGGCATTTTTGACTCGAGTAAGTATTATTGAACAATTTGTTTTTTTTCTGCCTCGTTGGCCGAGTGGTCGCAAGTGTGACTGCCGGGCAAGGGGTCTCGGGTTCGATTCCCGGACCGGAGCCTGGAATTGTGCCCGGTATATGGCAATAGGCTCACCCCCTATTACAAAGGACTCATAACATAAATAGTGAAAAGTGGGTGTTATATTGTACAGTAGCATAATGTCCACTTCTGCCTACCCCTTCGGGGATAAAAGGCGTGATGTTATGTGTTGTTTTTTCACGTGTGTATAATGCAACTTTAATGTTCTAATTAATTTTAATCTATTTGGAAGAGAAACACCATCAATAATTCACTGTAAAATTAAAATACGTATTATTATAAATACTGACTCATATCATAGACTGCCTCGTTGGCCGAGCGGTCGCAAGTGCGCCTGCCGGGCAAGGGGTCTCGGATTCGATTCCTGGGTCTGAAAAGTATTACTGGGTTTTAAAAAAAAATCTCATTCTAATTACTTGAAAGTACTTGATAAGAAAGTATTAACACGCTAAACACAGAACTACTTACAACCTAATTTAGAAAAATGTTAGTGCAATCAAAACATTTGACACAATGATTAATACCAATGCAAAACAGAGACGACTGATTACTAAATATTACGTAAAAAAAAATTAAATGTACTACATAATATGTACAGTGGCCAGCAGATAAACCTAATCATTCATTTTTCATTCATTCATTCATTGGATTTTAGCTTTTATGTCAATAGTATAAAGTTGAAGATGTAATAGAGAATTTTGACAGAAACGGATAGGATGACCTGTTGGCCACAGTACATTAGTCGAAATTGTTCCAACTGCGATCTACTTATAGTTGATTTATATTCTCTATTGTATCAAGTACGTATTTCCCAGTAGCCGTTAGATAGTGTAGTGATAGGTATCACTCTAATGTACGCCGTGGATAATCCTAATTAGTTATATGACGACCGAGTATGATGGTGGATGGTGTAGTTTTGATATTTGCAGTGTTTTTGATTGAAGATGACTCATAGGAAAAGTATGCGTATCATGTTTGTAGATAAGATTGACTTGGTAAAGAGACAATAGGTATTGTTAAAGGAAATTGCAACTTAATAACGAAAGCCTAGAGTCTCTTATTACTAGATTCTTGTATTGACTTTGTAGAAAATAAATCTGTCTTCTTTCAGTATTCTTTATACAGCATATTTATTCTTATTAATTCTTTCAGATTTTATGCATATCAAATAATTATCCAGATCCATATAGGAAGGTGTAAATACTTATTAACTTTCGGCACTCCATGTAATTTATATCTCCTTTTACGTACTGTAATCTTGAAGCCTCGATTTTTTTATGGAATTAGCGGCAAACGAGCATTCACATCACCTGATGGTAAGCGATCAGCGCCAATTGTAAATCTGGTTGTCCACTTTTCTAAAATAAACCTGTGGGGTACCTTAATATCACGGTCCAATAGTGATCGGTCTCAGATTTTTTTCTAGTAAAAAAAAAAAATTACTTTATATGAAGATTTGCAAGTATTAAAACTCTTTGTGTAGCATTATTTCATTCATATCAAGAGATGAGAAAGATAAACGCATATAATTTGTTCCTGACTCCACTTGGTTTATTGATACTGATTACTGTATAAAGTTGATTTGCATATAGACAACGAAATTGAAATTCAATCAATTGGATCATCTAATCATGAATGAAATTATTTACTTGACCCATATTTAGTAAGTCTAACTATCTGATTTACTTAACATACTTTACTTTTTCAAAACTTCGCTAGAAGTTTGTATAATAAAGTTCTCTAATAGATATTAGAATAATTGTGGGGTAAAGACAGATAAGGAAAAGGTGTCTTACTGTACTTGAACCAACAATCGATATAATTTAATACCGAGCAATATGTAAACAAAGTAATTGAACTTGAAATGTGTTACATAACCTTATCTTGTCGCTATCATCGATCCAGTTTTTGACACCGCCGCCGGGCATCAGGTAGGCGCAAGTACACCTGTTTATATGTAATCTCTACGTATGTATTGATATGCATACGCAACACATGTGTCTAGTATAAAAGCTCTCTGCTACCGAGCAGTAGCACACTCGTCAACCATAAACAAACCAGACAACATGGCCGCTAGAGTAAGTTCAAATGTGTTGATTGTGTAAACCGATTGCAAAGTCATAAACATCAGCCATTAAACTAGATTAATTATATTAATCTATCGATATAATTTGGAGGACAGCGGATAGATGTCGCCATAACCAGTTGTGTCGTACAAAGATATAGTGATTGTTCTTCTAGTAAATGGCCTATATTTCTTTATAACTTATTTTGGTATCTAGTCACTTAACGGAGTTTATATTTTACAGTTCCTGACTTTCTCCGCCCTCGTGGCCGCCGCCACCGCTGTGGCCATCCCCGTGGTGCCCGTCGCAAAGCTGGCATATGCTCAGCCCGCATACGCTCAGCCCGAAGCACCCGCTCACTACGAATACACATACTCCGTCCACGACAACCAAAGCGGAGATGTGAAACAACAACAGGAGTCTCGCTCTGGCGACGCGGTGCACGGCTCATACTCTCTCGTGCAGCCTGACGGTGTTCACCGTATCGTCGACTACACCGCCGATGAAGAGCACGGATTCAACGCTGTTGTCCGTTATGAAGGCACCCCCATCGCTCAAGCTCCTGCCAAGGTCGCCTACGCTGCTCCCGTCGCCTACGCTCACGCCCCTGTCACCAAGGTCGTAGCCGCAGCTCCCGTCGCTAAGGTCACCTATGCCGCTCCCGTCGCCAAGCTCGCCTATGCTGCTCCAGTCGCCAAGATTGCCTACGCTGCTCCCGTAGCGAAGCTCGCATACGCTGCCCCCGTAGCCAAAGTCGCCTACTCCGCTGCTCCTGCTCAAGTCACCTACGCTCACGCCCCAGCTCAAGTTACCTACGCCCAGGCCCCCGCTGAGGTCACCTACGCTCATGCTCACTCTCACGCTCCCGCCCAGGTCACCTACTCCCAGGCTCCCGCTCAAATCTCTTACCAGCACGCCCCAGTGTACGCTGCAGCTCCCGTCGCCAAGGTTGCGTACGCCGCTGCTCCCGTAGCCAAAGTAGCTTACGCTGAAAACCTTGGTCACGTGACCTTCTCCTCCCCTGCCGTATCTTACCACCACTAAGTCCTAAGAAACTAAATGTTGTTACTTATTTATTTTGTTAAATACAAGATAGTCAATTGAATTTGCACGTTTTATTTTTACCAAGGGTCAGTGGGGAAAGAATTGTAAGAAGGCGTTAAAGCGGCGGCGTATCCGATATCAAAACGTTCTAAACGAAGTTATAAGGAAGCGTGCGGGTAGTGTCGGGGAATCAATTGAATTATGTAGCATTATGATGCGAGTGGGTCCGGTTACGCGGCACGTCTGACTCGCCCCCAGCGGGCCGCTTTGACGCATTGCTTCTGACACCTATTCATTCGGCTAGTTTACTCTACGACTATCATCGTGCTCTGACGACTGACATCACTTCCCCTCTATCACCCAGCATAGGACTAAGTGCGGGAGGCGGGGTGTCTTTACATGTACTGGCGATGTTTAGTGCCCGCTTTGCAAAACAGCGAAACGTGTCGACGCCTACTTTAATGATTGCAGGCAAATATAAATTGACAGAGTTGATGGTGAAAGTAGTTGTTAGTATAACTGAAGGGGCTTCAGATATGTGATGAGAATATATTAAGTTACTTTTGACTGCTCACAACATGTTGTAAGGGGTTGTTATTCACTAAGCTTCAATTTTAGCTTAGTGAAGCCATTGAAGGACATTTTTATTTGAAGAGAAAATTTAAATAAAGTCTAAACACGTGAATGTGTATTTAAATTCTTTTTTTGTAAATGGAAATGGAATTTTTCCTAGACTATAAAAGTCTCAGAGTGATTCTTAATAGGTGAAAGAGATGGTCACATGTCGTATGAGAAAATGAAAGTTATGCGAAGCTTAGTTTGGAAGCCAAAAATCAACTCCACAAAAACCAAAGCATTGCAACAACAGAATATAAACAAAAACAGAAACAAAACACGAAAGCAAAATGTAACGTGAATTTCATATTTATATGATAAAATCATACATTTTGTGGGTAAAGAGAGGCAATAAGCAAACCAATAACGTATTCACAATGCGAATATTTAATGTAGGACGAATAATTTATAATCAGTGCGGACAAATGTTTTGGTGAAGTTTTACAAGCCGCCCACAAAGGGTTGGTTCGTGTTAATCCCGCTATTATCGGATGATGAACTATTACCCCGTCCCCTTTCCCCTCTCCCCCTTTTCACCCTGCGACGTGAGTCCTCCCCATTTCACTCATAGTTTGTATTACGTTGATATTACACCGAATGTTCCTGATATTAAGCAATCTCTAGAGAGTGGATCTACGAAGATTGGGTTTGATGAAAGGGTTGCGTGTTTCATAAAAAATGTTTTGTCAATAATAAGTGAGTGTGTTGTAGGTTATTCTCGCAGTAGGTCATTGTTGTTGAATGTAATTGTATAGTACCTACAGTACAACTCTTCCTTATTTATTGGTCTTGTGTTTATCACGATATTCTGGATTCGATCTCTATGCAGACAAAGTATTGACAGTTTTATAACCCTGTCTTAGTAAGTCATCTGTTAGGGCTACTGTTGACGTCACCGCACGGTGAAAGCTATTGACGAATGCATGATGATTGGAAGACGAATCTAACCGTCCAAAACCTAACAAGTTCCAATTGAACACAATTTAAATTGGGTATTCAGACCATTGCAAAATAGATGAATCAGAATAAGTTTCAGAATTATACAAATTATTTAAACAAAAGTTTTAGTAGTTATTGTTTGAAGTTGTTCGATTATGGGCAGACGCGAGACGGGCGCGGCCAGGCGCGGCACTTAGTACTATGAAATCAAAGAGCATTATTAATGACACTCTACAGTATCACAGAGACTTATAATGAATTATAAAACCGCCGTGTTTTTGCTTTTAATCAGCAAATTCAGCAACAATGAACATCTACTTAATTACATAGGGTGGTTAATATATTATGAGCCATTTCTTTGTGGTATAAGGAATGGCACGTTTAATAAAAGTTAACATATTTTTAATAGAGAAGATGTTTGTTTGATGATGGTTTTCACTCGTAGACAATCTCGACTAGACTCGTAGTTAATCGCGTAAATATACTAAGAAAAGCTCAACTAGTTTCGAGTCACAGCGGGACTCTTCCTCATGAGCGTCGTGCGCGGTCGCGGCAATGTCGCGCAGCCTACTGGCCAGTACATTTACGTGTATAAATTCTCAGTAGGTATATTTACGTGAGTATCTCGTAATTTTTAGTTGACTACGAAATGCATTATTTCTATTTAGTCTAACAGATTCTAACAATAACTGCAACAGAACTAATCGCAAGCAAATGATTACAAGTACAGATTAAGTATTAACAATGATTACAATTGCCCATTCACTGAGAACATAATTAACTGATGCCTAACAAGCGTAAATCGTTCGCGTACAACTATAATAGAAACGTCAGTAATTCGGCACGCATTTGTACGTCTCTTTAGTACTGGTCGACACGAGGCGGCACGTGGCGCGTACAATTGCGTGCATTTAGTGCATCGCGCCCGATTGCTTCCGGATGACCAGAGTGTCAAGTTGCATCGTCGAAAAATGTTGATATTTTGTGTGGCTTCCACTGTACACTGATATAGTGAAGTGGTTTTAGGGAACAATGCTGTTTTATGCGTGTGTGACAAAGGTATTTTGGTAGTGAATGTTATATTGGGTGTTTTCACCTAAAGAATTATTTTTGAAATACGAATTCAATGTACGTTATTATAGTGGGCTTGCCTTTAATATTGTTAAGTAATAGTCACATAATAAACTTAGATTTTACTTTAACACAATATTTTAGAGATCTATCTGCAGCTCTGCTCTGAAACCTCCTGGCAAATACATCTACATAACATAACATAACATCACGCCTTTTATCCCCGAAGGGGTAGGCAGAGATGCACATTACGGCACTTAATGCCACTACAAGATAACACCCAATTTTATGTTATGAGTCCCATGTAATACGGGGTGAGGCTATTGCCATATACCGGGCACATTTCCAGACTCCGTGCTACTACGAGGTTACTAGCGAGATCCCCTGCCCGGCAGTCGCACTTGCGACCACTCGGCCAATGAGGCAGTATAGTGATATATCTACATACCTATGTTAACTGCTGCCAGTAAAAGACCAAATAATGAAATCAATGCCCTATAAAGAGATGACAATGTTGCGATTTTCTCATTGAACTTTCATCCGTTGTAATACATGAAGTTCAAAACTTAACTACTTCAATACTTAGACCGCAAATTCAACAACACGGAAAGAACAAATTCCGATTGTGAGAAATGAAATAGTGGGGCATGGTAGAGTGATTCCGATGTGAATGCAGTGGTACTTAAAACGTACTGTTACTGTGAAAACATTGTGCAGTTCCAGCTTTACGCTCTGATATTCCTTTCCTTGTTATCGCCCGGAGCTACGGGAGGCGGGCGGGACTACCAGCTGCAGTAGAGGTGTAAAGTAGAAGTACCATTGCAGCTTATCTCTAACTACTTTTTGCTTGTTGTGTTGCGATTTTACGTACTTTATGCTTGTTGCGCGATTACAGGAATAAAAAAAATCACATATTCCCATGGACATAGTAGACAAAGCATTAATTGATACTGGAGTATGAGCTGATGCTTGGTCAATCATCAATTACTCAAATTGAAACAGGCAAACAGTTTAAAATGTTAAATGACAATCATTTACACGGGCCATTACCAAGAAACATTACTTTTGATATAACATTCTGCTGATGATGATTGTGATTCTCGATGCGGAAACAAAACAAAAGAACATCATATGTATATAGATAAAGGTTTCTCTTTCTATTGTAATAAAGTGGGAATTCTGTACATTAATTTGACATGTAAGGGTGGAAGTGGGTGGCAAGACTATGTCGGAAACAATTAGGGTGGGCGCACGCGCGCCAGCTTCCTGTACCTCGCCTAATTGGCGTATCTCTGCGCCGTTCAATGTATCTGTTATAATTGACGTCACTGCAACAATGAGATTAGATTGCTATCTGTTTATGTTAGTTACTCCATTAATGTACGTGGAAGCTTTCATTATGTAAGATCTTGATATGTGACAATAGACAATATTGAAGACTATCTGAATATCTGTATGTTCAGTTTCGGTTTGTATTTGTATTGTACGTTACGTAAACGTTCATACGACTATAGTATAAAGTTTCAGCTAAGAAAAAGGTTCGATTCGTATTCGAATTCGTTTAGATATTTGAACATTTTTTATTGATTTTACAAATAGACAAAATAATGCATAACTTCGCTATCTCTATCTCCACTAAACAGTACGTTGCATACAACCCTATTTCAAATGACATTGGTATTGACGCAACCCTTCATTAGCAAAACTAATGATTCGCTAAACACCGCCGTGTCCCCTACCACGTATTCCCAAGGCACCTGCTTTGTTCGACCAAAATCTATTTATTCATATCGTATTGCTAATTTGAGGATTAGGTGGCGCGTTCCGCCGGTTATTGAATTATCCATTCCGTTTGCGGGGACTTCGAGTCTCGAGGGACAGTGGTACGAGTTACGTTGGTACTTACGTACTCTGTTCGTCTTTGATGTATTTTGAGTTTCGTTTTAGTAAAATACAATTTTTCAGAAAAATATGGTAGGACAATTTAGAAAAACGTAGAGTAGGTAGTTATTAGGTGTAATAGATTTCTTGCGCTATTTCTTCGATAAAATTCCAATAATAAATTCGTAAGTCGACAATCTGAATATGAACAAAGATTGACAAATATCTGTACTGAAACAACACTCACAAAGAAATAACCAAGTCTCATAATAAAAGCCATATAACTAAATAACTCAAGTTATATTGCTCGCATGATACGTCTACCTACTTCATATTAGATATGTATTACGAGGTTTTCTTCAAATCTGAAGAGAATCATCATAGTTGGCTGATTACGTGAAACTAGTCCTCACTTTGCATCACCATTGGTAGGGGTTGGTTGGGGGACACAGTAAAATGTCGGCAAATGTACCGCACGCTTTGAATACGTTATTATGTTTAGTTTACGAGTAAATGTTTAGCGCGCGCTGCGGCCAATTAGCTCTGCGGTTTATATTCTCTAACTATTCTCTAGTGTCTGGCTGTTGTAATGCCTGTTTTAAAGTAATTTAGATTCAAGTGTAATGCAGTATGTCATTCTATTAACTTTTATTTAACAACTAGCTGTCGCCCGCGACTTCGACGGCGTACAATAAGAGTTATGGGACATAGCACTTCTACTGCCTTGCTCAAAGTCACTGAGGATG